TATTTATTTCCTTATTTCATGATAAATGTTTATTATTCATGCTAGAATTGTATTAACCGGAAATATAATACATGTGTGAATACATAGACAAACATAGTGTCACTAGTATGCCTCTACTTGACTAGCTCGTTAATCAAAGATGGTTAAGTTTCGTAACCATAGACATGAGTTGTCATTTGATTAATGGGATCACATCACTAGGAGAATGATGTGATTGACTTGACCCATTCCGTTAGCTTAGCACTTGATCGTTTAGTATATTGCTATTGCTTTCTTTATGACTTCTATATGTTCCTACAACTATGAGATTATGCAACTCCCGTTTACCGGAGGAACATTTTGTGTGCTACCAAACGTCACAACGTAACTGGGTGATTATAAAGGAGCTCTACAGGTGTCTCCATAGGTACATGTTGAGTTGGCGTATTTCGAGATTAGGTTTTGTCACTTCGATTGTCGGAGAGGTATCTCTGGGCCCTCTCGGTAATGCACATCACTACAAGCCTTGCAAACAATGTAGCTAATGAGTTAGTTACGGAATGATGCATTACGTAACGAGTAAAGAGACTTGCCGGTAACGAGATTGAACTAGGTATTGGATACCGACGATCGAATCTCGGGCAAGTAACATACCGATGACAAAAGGAACAACATATGTTGTTATGCGGTTTGACCGATAAAGATCTTCGTAGAACATGTAGGAGCCAATATGAGCATCCAGGTTCTGCTATTGGTTATTGACCGGAAACATGTTTCGGTCATGTCTACATAGTTCTCGAACCCGTAGGGTCCGCACGCTTAAGGTTTCGTTGACAATTTTATTATGAGTTTATGAGTTTTGATGTACCGAAGGAGTTCGGAGTCCCGGATGAGATCGACTACATGACGAAGAGTCTCGAAATGGTCGAGACATAAAGATCGATATATTAGACGACTATATTCGGACTTCGAAAAGGTTCCGAGTGATTCGGGTATTTTTCGGAGTACCGAAGAGTTACGGGAATTCGCCGAAGAGTATATGGGCCTTATTGGGCCATACGGGAAAGAGAGAGGGGCTGCCTAGGGCAGCCCCCCCCCCCCCAAGGCCTAGTCCGAATTGGACTAGGGGGAGGGGCTGCGCCCCCTCCTTCCTTCCCTTCTCTCTTCCCTTTCCTTCCCTCCTACTCCTACTACATGGAAGGGCTCCTAGTTCTACTAGGAAAGGGGGAATTCTACTCCCGGTGGGAGTAGGACTCCCCTAGGGCGCGCCATAGAGAGGGCCGGCCCTCCCCCTGCTCCACTCCTTTATATACGGGGGCAGGGGGGCACCCCATAGACACAACAATTGATCTCTTGATCTCTTAGTTGTGTGCGGTGCCCCCCTCCACCAAAGTCCTCGATAATATTGTAGCGGTGGTTAGGCGAAGCCCTGCGACGGTAGAACATCAAGATCGTCACCACGCCGTCGTGCTGACGGAACTCTTCCCCGACACCCTGCTGGATCGGAGTCCAGGGATCGTCATCGAGCTGAACGTGTGCTAGAACTCGGAGGTGCCGTAGTTTCGGTGGTTGATCGCTCGGACCGTGAAGACGTACGACTACATCAACCGCGTTATTCTAACGCTTCCGCTTTCGGTCTATGAGGGTACGTGGACAACACTCTCCCCTCTCGTTGCTATGCATCACCATGATCTTGCGTGTGCGTAGGAAATTTTTGAAATTACTACGTTCCCCAACAGATTTACGGGGTTGGGATTTTTTGGGGAATTTGGTTATGTGCTCACTAGTTTTTTTTCTGAAGGGGAGGGGGGGTGTGGTGGGTTTTGTAGGGTTAATTTACGAGGTTTCATATATTGTATTAGCTAGCTAATAGAGAGAAGTGTCCTCTCTTATCTCCGTGCTTGGTCGACGCTACGTATAAAAAGGACTCGACACGCTAGCTAGCTAGTAAGCAAATGAAGGAAACTATTAAGTATACAGAAGATCGTCATGAACATATACAGAAGTGATCGACCTCCCCTTCTCCGAGAGATTGGTCGAACAACAAGTTTTCGCATATCTTACCGACGCTACTGGCTACATATGTACTACCACACATCTACAGTCCAGAGCTCTGTGCATACACAAGCACACTGGCCCGTTTCTGCCGGTGGATGAACTATAGCCAAATTACAACTAAATTAATCGGTAGAGGACACAGCGCTGGTCCAATTTCTGAGGAAAAAGACAGGCATACTGACGAAATTCCGGACATCTGTCTGAATAGACAGGTGGAAATGTCAATAAATTATAGGAAATGATTCCCTTCAACCGACTGATTTTACGGGAGTTTCCGCTATTCCTATGTCCGTCGGATGCACTCTTAATCAAGGTGGAGAGCTAATCCTTCCGTGCCCACTTTCTGCAACTGGTCCATTGTTTTAGAAAGAGATTCCACAACTAGCCTCTTGTTGCAAACCGTCCAACGGCTAGATACTGCTGCAGCTCGCACTAGGGAGGGCAATTTTTTTCTGCATCACGAAACATGTTGCAAAAAAAAAAATCCCGTAATACAACCTACGTTGCAAAGAAAAAATTCAACATAACCCCTGTTGCAAATGTTTCCGCAACTAGACTTTTGTTGCAAAGTAGAGAAAGGCGTTTGACTGGTAGATTGTATCAAATCCAACGGCTCGCGAGCCAAAAAGATCCGTCGGCAGACGCGTAGCAGTCCACATATATCATTTTACATACTTTCAATTAAATAATTATTTCATCTCATTGGGGCTTTGTTTGGGCTTTCGTGCGGGGCTTCTAGCGGAAAATCTGAGCCCAGGCCCACCCCAGATGATGGGCTTTTAGGTTCGAATCGTCCTACTGGGCTACCCATGCGCAGGTGTAATCAAAGGTGTTGAGAAGCTTAGGGCATCTTCAATGCGGTTCACCAAACGACCGCCTCAAATGTCCGCAGACACCGGGCGTGCCGGCTTTTGGGCTCGAGTCGTCTTACTGGGCTTCCCATGCGCAGGTGTAATCAAAGGTATTGAGAAGCTTAGGGCATCTTCAATGCGGTTCACCAAACGACCGCCTCAAATGTCTGCAGACACGTTTGGACGTGCCCGCGGATAGCTGTGGGCCTGTGGCCCTCCAATGGTATCACTCCTTTACGGACTATGGGTTATGACTGACAATGAACCAGCAGGATCATGAGGGTAAAGAAATGAGTGGAACACGTGGTTTGTGGTCCAACTGACGGTAGGCCTGGCAAACATCTGGACTCTTGCGGATTTGGTTCTGTGCTAGAGGGGTTAGGACGTTTGGACTAGTCCACACTTATTTGATGGGCCATGTTGAAGCCTAAAAGTGTCCGTCCATTTGGTATGGACATTTGAGGGAGATTTGGTGAGCCGCGTTGAAGATGCCCTTAGATTGCCATGAAACACACCATTATCTCACTCAGGTAGCATCATCCATAAAAATGATATGTAACCATATTAGATTTTTCTAAAAGGAACCGCATTAGTTTAGTCATGCAATATTCATCGTGTTGGTATTATTAGGATTATGTACAATCGTTCATAAGTCAGTCTCACCTTATATCATTCATGTCATTTCGAGACTAGCGTAAACAAAATACCAAATGATATAATGGATTATATTTAGCGTTGTATACTCGAGTTAAATCCACATACCCATCACATTTGTGTCACGATTAACGAAAAATCTCCAGTTTACAGTTCGTGACATTTTGCACCGCACCAAAATTCTGACAATGGGAAAAAACACTGAGCAAAATATTGAGCGTTCCGTTTGATATTGGTGTAGCTAGACGACGACCATGTCTCGAAAAAAAAATATTGCTAAGAAAATGTCTCAAAAAAAGGTAGACGACGACCACTTGATGTGCGTCGGCTGGGTGAAGGACTCGTGTTTGTTTGTTCGAGGAACGATCGACCAAAAAGGGGAGATCGATCGCGCTTTCGCGTCGCTGCAGCCCTTAATTAGGATTTCATGGAGCAATCCGTTGTCTGCTGCCCTTAATTAGGATCTCGAATCCGCTTCCAATTCAGTGCACTAGTACACCACAAATCTACATTGAGCTGCGCCTCACGGGGTGCGTACGTGCTCCATCTTTTGCAGTTTGATCTCTACTCCCAAGAGTTTCCTGATCGAGATTTGCGACTTTGTCGAAACCCTAATTGCTGAAACCGGCAACGTTGGATATTTTTTTCTAGTCTAGGGTTGAAGACTGCAGTGTTTTCGTATTGTGTGCTCAAGAACAAGATCTGTGGGATCCAACCAAAATGTCTCCACTGGACGACCATCAGAAAGGACCTCCTTCGGCGCGATCGTCCTCAATTGCCTGCAACAGAAGCAAACGTCGTCGGCACCCTCCCACTGTACATCATGCATCCGGCGGCGTTTCCCCTCGCGCCGGCACGGCGGCGCCCTCCCCATGGGCGTCGATGAATGAAGACTTGGTTCGCCTGATCGCCTGGCGGGTGCTGGCCGGCGACCTAATGGGCTACGTCCGCTTCCGCGCGGTCTGCCGGCACTGGCGGTCTAGCACCGACAGCCCACGCGGCCGCGGCGTCATCGACCCACGCTTCCACCCGCGCCGCTGGATGATGTTCCCGGAGGGCCACGGCCTGCACCCATCCCACACCAGGCTCCGCGGCTACATCCGCTTCCTCAACCTCGACACGGGGAAATTCGTCCGCGCCACGCTCCCGGTCTTCAAGGACCACTGCGTCCTCGACTCGGTGGACGGCCTGCTGGTCATGCACAGGGACGAGGACACGGCCATCCGCATCCTCCACCCTTTCTCCGGCGACGTCGTGGACCTCCCGCGGCTCGCGACCCTTGCGCCGCACATTGACCTAGGCCTGCCCGGGGCCGTTCTCCCGGCGCAGAGGTGCTACTACCTCAGAGGAGTGTGCGCTTCCGTCAGCGTCAGCGCCGCCGGAGTCGTCACCGTCTTGCTCGCGCTGCATCGGATTGGCCGCGTCGCCTTCACCACCTCCCGGGATCAGCAATGGCACATGTCAACCTGGACATTTAGTTACATCACACCCTTATCGTTTCAAGGCAAACTATACATGGCGCGAATGAGCTTCGATCCCAAAGAGAACTCGGACATATTCCAAGTTGATCCACTGCCACCACCACCACCACAGGGCCATCATCATGTGGATGTGGTGGGCTCAGCTGGTTCCTCCTCATTGACATTACCACCACCCAAGTTGATTGCCACAATTCCAACCGACAAGCTCACCCGTCCCATCCACCTAGTAGAATGCAACTCGCAGATCCTTGTGACCGGCTACACCGACAGATCCTGGTTGCATATGATCATTCATAGGCTTGCGGATCTAATTACATTGGAAAAGCCGATTCAGGTAACAAGCATTGGGGACAAGGCTTTGTTCCTTAACAATGTGAGGAGCATGTCTGTTTCCTCCAATGGGGCATTGCCCACTGTTGTCGGCAACACCATTGTTCAGGCCAGCCTGGCAAATGGGTCACTTACCGAGTACAACCTTAGTACCGACGCTTGGTCACGGCCTATGGATGGTTGCATCCTACGCGGACCCGTATTCGGCCCGTGTTGCCTTATCTACCATATCTACACCTGCTGCATTCGTGAATACTGGTGAGTCGGATGAGTACAGCCACCTCTCTTTATTTCATGTATCTCTGCATTGTTTTTCACTATTTTTGTTACAAGTTAGTTAGGCGAGCCGATTGATTTTCTTTTCTTCTTTCAGGAACAAAGGACAACTATGCAACCGGAACAAACCTTGCAACTGGCGAGTGAAGGGAAAGTGGCGCACAGGGGTATAGTCCGCCGGCCTTGCTTAAATTTCAACACTTTGGCTGCTAATCTACTGTATTTATTATCCATGCTTAACTGGTACCACTTGTTCTTTATTTGTTGCTGGTACGTTGACGCCGTACGTCTTTGATCTCGAACATGCAGGGCTTTTTTTACAATATCGTGATTTTGTAGAAACCATAGTTTGAATGATACTTTTTTATCTGTTTGGCATCAACAAATACCATGGTTTTATAAACTGTAGTATCTCCAACACTATAGTATACATTTTTGCAGTATTTTAAGAAGAGACCTTGACCTGTTTTTATAAACCAGGCTGATAAAATAGTAATTTTAGAAACCGGAGTATTCATTGCACGCACATTGGAATACTTATGTTTCACGCTACCACGGTTTTAAAATATGATGCTATCAATAGTTGGTTTATTTACTGTCTCTTTTGTGAACAGCGTCTGCAACCAGTGATCATTTCCCATTTGTTAGAGATAAAGAAACAATTTTCTATTTACACTGAAATATTACTGTCACATAGGTATGTTATTCTGTATGCAAAGACTGTTGTGTGTGCATTTAGTATTAATTGACGGTCCAGAACACATTGTTATGATGTGCTTATGGGCAGACTATATGCCATGTGAAATTTTCTTATGTGCCAGTATAGAATTAGTTATCAATGGAAACACTTTTTTGTTTAGAGTTAAATGCACTAGAGGTGCCCTAACTTGTCCTCCATGGTCAGTTTAGTGCCTAAAGTTGCAAAATACACGAAAGTGGTGCTCGAACTTGTCTGGCTGTGCAAATACGGTGCCTCCGTCCCTATGCAGATGTTTATTTTGCAGAAACCTCCTCATATTTTACATAATTACGTAAAAAAGACCTCAAATACAACGTATGGTAGCGAGAACTAACATGAAAAAATATCAACGGGAAGGGGTTTTGAACCTAGCTCCTCCGGGATAACTACCGCATGATCTGGTCAACCGGCTGAAATATGCCATGCGTACAACACTTAGCTAGAAAGCTATACAAACACTTTTCACATATCGCTCTGCAATTTTCCTAATGCATTATCTATCAGTTTTATTTTTATTTTGTCCAAGTTCTTGTTTTGTTTCATGACACACAATCATTGTTTATCTTCATTGTATTTCTAAAATAACCAATTATTAACAAATTGACAACATAGTATTTGTAAACTACTCAACATGTATTAAAAAGTATTGTGTTGAACTTTTAATACAATTATTTAACATGTTATGGCATAATTTTTTAATACACGTTGAGTTTGTTTAATACACATTGTGAATTTTTTAATGCAACACGGACATTTTTAAAACACACGTTACAATTTTTTAATACAAATGAAACTTTTTTCCAAAAACGTGATGAATTTTTTTCAAATGCACTAAAACTTTCTTTAAGTTTATGGTAGTTTTAATTTATCATTACTCCATCGGATCCATATTGATTGATGCAAGTTTAGTACAGAGTTAGTACAACTTCAAAAAAATTATATTACACTACTGTCTGTACATGCTCAAAAAAATTCAGATTTTTTAGCTGTAAAAATCCATTTCTCTCAACTTCAAAGCAAGCGATACAATGTGCCCGTGCTTCAATGCTACCTTTCGCATAGCAATGCAATATATATAGTTCGACCTCGTTAATTTTAGATGAGTAGAGTATGTCCTCGTAGACAACCTGGGAGTGCACTACAATCTGCTATCGCAAGGTCTCACGATCAATCCTGCCTCACACAAGGTTTTCTCTAATTTTTCACGTTTACATACGTGATTAAATAAAACATGAGGGGGTTTTCTAAAAAAATCTCATGCGCCGGCAACCTAGCGCATTCCCCGCTCTCAGCCACTTACAAGTGGGCCACTGCCGTGTTGGCATGCCACATGGGCTAGACGTATGTCTGCATAGGGACGGAGGCACCGTATTTGCACAACCAGACAAGTTCGACCACCAATTTCATGTATTTTGCAACTTTAGGCACTAAATTGATCGTGCATGACAAGTTGAGGCACCTCCAGTGTATTTAACTCTTTTGTTTACTGTAAACACTGGGAACACACTGTTAATATTTCAATATTTGGACACCGCGGTCATATTATACATGCACATTTGCTCATCCGCAGAGTTACGCATATTCCATGACCCGTTGCTCATTTTGTCAACACCAGCCAACTTAATGTGCTATATCCTTTCCCATTTCTGGATGAATAATGTTTCAAATTTAAAGGCTCACTCATTGTTTTTCTTTTCGCATGTTGATGTTTTATCCATGATGTACTTTTCTGCATTTATTTTTGAATACATTGGTTTGATATTTACCGCTGACTTGATGGAATTGTACTTGTCTTTCACCGGGCGTAATTGATTTGCTATGGAGACCAACATGATTGGTTGTTATTCGGATGGTACTTGGATTTTCTCAGCCTCCACAAATCTTTGCCACCACCAAGCGGAGAGATTCTATTGCTGGATTCCGTAATGTCATGTACTCGTGTCGAGTAGGTAGGGATTTGAATTCGGGTTTCGCTACAAATCGGTCATTAGATTATTATTATTTTTAGTATAGCAAATCGAAAGCCCAAGATGGCAAATTATGTCATCGCGAGGATGGCGAATTCCTTTAGCAAGTGCTAGATTCAAGGAATAACCACTTCTATTACCTGATTACTGAGACTGCATACATCATACGACTTGCTACAATCACCCCGAATACAGTTCATCATCATTTATTAGTTGTGAGCACTAACTAAATGATGGAAGGTCAACCCATACGGTTTTGCCCACATGATGTTTAATCTTCAAACAGTTGTGACTTTTTGAGTAGTCGTACATCCATTTCACATTGTAAAAGCAGATCTCCCGGCATTAGACGGGTGTAGCTAAGCATTTTTGGCCTTACACCATCTTTTTATATTGCTTGGACCTGGAAAGAACAATTGAGGCTAAATCTTCAACACACAACTCCCTGAATTTCTAATGGTGGAATGCTCATGGTGCTACACTCAAGCTAGATATCACCCCTACCCTTCCTCCAGAAACCGAAAAGAAAGAAAGAATGAAGGCAAAGAAGGTACTCCCTCCGTCCCGAAATATAAGAACGTTTTCCAGATTTCCGACAAGATCGATATGTGCCCAAAAGACATTTCTACCCCCGCGATCGTCTTCCCCCGACCGTCTTCCTCGATCCCAGACGCTTCAGGGAAATTCAAATTCAAATCCTCCATGGCACCAGGCGCCCACGCGACCTCCATTCTTCCCCGTGCGTAGCTCCTGCACCTCGCTGCTCTTGCACCACGAGCTCCTGCACCTCGCCGCAGCGCCCCCATCTCCTCCTCGCCGGCCGCAGCGCCCCAATCTCCTCGCCCAGGCCTCCAGCTCCTCCTCCCGCAGCGCCCACATCTCCTCGCCCAGTCCTCCAGCTCCTCCTCGCCCAGGCCCCCATCGCCTCCTCGCCAGCAGCCTCCTCGCCCAGGCGACCAACACCTCCTCACCCAGGCCGCAACATCAATAGAGAAGCAGAGAGAATTGACAACAATTGTCAGCAAAATCAACAAAGAACAAGATACTCCAGGAGTAGAATTGACAAAGGTACTCCAAGGATTGGGTTACGTTGCTGCGGGAACATTACAGAGACAAGGTACTCCAACAAATTTAATTGAATAATGTTTGGATTTTTTGCATGAATTGTTTGCATGAATAGGAATTTGTATAATTTGCATATGGAGTTATGAAGTGAGAACAATATGCAAGTGACTTTAAGTGGATATAAGTGACTTTAAGTTCTGAAACATAAACAAATAGTTCTGAAATTCAAAATGCCAACAGCAGGGAGTATGATTTTGAGAAATCTACTCAAATTCATCAAACAGTCTCAGCATGGAATTCAACAAACAATCAGCATGGAATTACAAATAGTAGGGAATTTGTTCATATGAAAGAAATACTCCATGCATGCTATCAAATGAGTGTCAATCTATATTTTCCATGCTCCTAGGAGTAAAGTAGAGTAACATGATTACCTGTGGATCCAGCTCCAAAATTAACTTTGTCAATGTCAATTCTCCAGCTGAGAAGATGGTTCTCCCAGATCTGAACTGCACTCCACCTGGACAAGAAGAAGAAGATGACGATGATGTTAATATGCAAGATGAAGATATGAATATGCAAGATGAAGAAGAAGAAGAAGAGCAATTACAAGTAGAAGCAGAAGGTATAGTTCATGTTAATTGAATTCAGTTAAGTAAAAGGACTTTGTTGAATTTATATGCACCTAGATGCATATACATCCAGTTAAGTGCCTTTAAAATAGGTGCATTTAAATTCATCTAAGTGATTTTAAAGGCACTTTGCTGAATTTAAATGCACCTAGGTGCATATATATTCTGCCAAGTGCTTGTAAAGGCACTTTGCTGAATCTATATGCACCTAGGTGCATATATATTCAGTTAAGTGCTTTTAAAAGCACTTCAATAAATTTAAATGCACCTAGGAGTAGTTAAGTGCATTTTTCTGAATTTATATTCACCTAAGTGCATTTTCTTGTTACATTGCTATTGTAGGTGTTGAGCAACCAAAGAGGCAAAGAAAATCACTAACAGATGAGAAGAGGTATGCCGCTTACATGGCTATGCAAGCCCTCGGTATGAAAAGAGGTGGGGAGTTGAACGGGAAGGATAAGCAGTATGTGGCTGCATTGTTTGAAGTACATATCCAACTTATTTGGTCAATTTGAAGGACAGCAAAGAAACAATCTGCTCTTGGTCAGGAGGTGGACGTGTCAAACAAGAAAAAAAATTGTGACAGAAAAGCACTTGATGGCTTTCTATCACAAATCCCAACAGTTCCACTGAACAGAAGGTCGACCATAAGATCAGTTGTTGCTGCACTGGGTGTCAGCCGGACCACACTACACACGAACTTCCAACTTAAAAAGATAAAGAGGCAATCCAACAGGGTGAAGCCTCCTTTGAAAGAGAAGAATAAAAGA